CACTTCTCTTGATCTGCTAGCAATGCTCCTACTCATACAGCCTTCTTGGCAATGAGGGCATACTGCTGACTTATATCCAGCTTCTCGTCCACTGTAATCCCCAGGTCCTTTTCTGCAGAACTGCTGCTTAGCCATCAGTTCGCAGCCTGTAGCGATGCATGGGATTCTTCCTTCCTAAGTGCAGGACTCTGTACTTGTCCTTGTTGAACCTCATCAGATTTCTTTTGGCCCAATCCTCCAATTTGTCTAGGTCACTCTGGACCCTATTCCTACCCTCCAGCGTATCTATCTCTCCCCCCATCTTAGTGTCATCTGCAAATTTGCTGAGGGTGCAATTAATCCCATCATCCAGATCATTGATAAAGATGTTGAACAAAACCAGCCACAGGACCAACCCCTGGGGCACTCTGCTTGATACCGGCTGCCAACTAGACATCGAGCCATTGATCACTACCTGTTGAGCCTGACAATCTAGCCAGCTTTCTATCCACCTTATAGTCCATTCATCCAATCCATACTTTTTTAACTTGCTGGCAAGAATACTGTGGGAGCCCGTATCAAAAGCTTTACTAAAGTCAAGATATATCACATCCACTGCTTTCCCCATACCCACAGAGCCAGTTATCTCCTCATAGAAGGCAATCAGGTTGGTCAGGCATGACTTGCCCTTTGTGAATCCATGTTGATTGTTCCTGATCTCCTTCCTCTCCTCCAAGTACTTCAAAATGGATTCCTTAAGGACCTCCTCCATGATTTTGCCGGGGACTGAAGTGAGGCTGACTGGTCTGTAGTTCCCCGGCTTCTCTTTCTTCCCTTTTTAAAATATGGACACTATATTTGCCTTTTTCCAATCATCCGGGACCTCCCCCGATTGCCACGAATTTTCAAAGATAATGGCCAATGGCTCTGCAATCACATCAGCCAACTCCCTCAGCACCCTTGGATGCATTAGATCTGGACCCATTGACTTGTGCACATCCAGCTTTTCTAAATAGTCCTTAACCTGTTCTTTCACCGCTGAGGGCTTCTCACCTCCTCTCCATACTGTGTTGACCAGTACAGCAGTCTGGGAGCTGACTTTGTCTGTGAAGACCAAGGCAAAAAAAGTATTGAGTACTTCAGCTTTTTCCACATCATCTGTCACTATGTTGCCTCCCCCATTCAGTAAGGGTTCCACACTTTCCCTGACCTTCATCTTGTTGCTAACATACCTGTAGAAACCCTTCTTGTTACCCTTCACATCCCTTGCTAGCTGCAACTCCAATTGTGCCTTGGTCTCCCTGATTACATCCCTGCATGCTCTAGCAATATTTTTATACTCCTGCTGTCATCTGTCCAAATTTCCACTTCTTGTAAGCTTCCTTTTTGAGTTTAAGCTCACTGTTAAGCCAAGCTGGTCACCTGCCATATTTGCTATTCTTTCTGCACTTTGGGATGGTTTGTTTCTGCGCCCTCAATAAGACTTCTTTAAAATACAGCCAGCTCTCCTGGACTCCTTGCCCCCTCATATTAGCTTTCCAGGGGATCCTGCCTATCAGTTCCCTAAGGGAGTCCAAGTCTGCTTTTCTGAAGCCCAGGGTCCGTATTTTGCTTCTCTCCTTTCTTCCTTTTGTGAGGCTCCTGAACTCAACCATCTCATGGTCACTGCTGCCTAGGTTGCCACCCACTACTACTTCCCCTACCAATTCTTCCCTGTTTGTAAGCAGCAGGTCAAGAGGAGCACGGCCCCTAGTTAGTTGCTCCAGCACTTGTACCAGGAAGTTGTCCCCAACACTCTCCAAAAACTTCCTGGATTGTCTGTGTATTCCTGTATTGCTCTCCCAGCAGGTGTCAGGGTGATTGAAGTCTCCCAATTAGTACCAGGGCCTGTGATCTGGAAACTTCAGTTAGTTGTCCGAAGAAAGCCTAAGAACCTCAGAACTTGGCCCACAGAATATAGGCAGTATAGTCAACTTTCACCGATTGTTATCATAGATATCAGTGGTACCTTCACCTGTCCCCGTACTTAGATGAAAGATTCTGCTGCATGCCTAGCCACCACTGTGTGGTAACTATATATAGCACAGGGATACTCTTACATAATTAAACTGCTGAGACTTATTAAACAGCTATTAAGAACAATGATACTAAGAATAGTGTGGCTCTGAATGTGAAGTCAGTCTGTAGGAGGCAGTTTGGCACATTATAATCTTCAGGAGAGGTTCTGATTGCCACTTAAAGTAGCAAACAATATAATAAAAAAGGAACAAACAGAATAATAAAGGAGAGGTAATTCACCTCTATATAAAACCAAAAGGAAACAAAAATCAGTGATCACTCAGTGAGTTTCCAACTAATGCCAACAAATAGCCCTCTCCTCTGCCTCCTCCACACAACACTGATGTGACTGCCCAAGTGCTACAGGCTGAAGTACACTTCACACGTCATTTAGTGTGAATGCAGTAAGAAAAAGGCAAATTCACACCTTTTGGGAGGAGACATTTTCCAGAAGGACAGGTTAGCCAGAGAGCAGCACGTTTATCAAAAACCAATTGATAAAACCAGCAGTTAGTGGGGAGGTAGAAAGCAACTGGCATTTTTTTGTAAGGTAACCCCCTTCTCTTCATGTGCAATAATGCCTACATCTGTAATTTTCACTCCATGCATCTGAAGAAGTGGATTTTTTACCAAAATAAATCGGTTAGTCTTTAAGATGCCACCGGATTCCTTGCTGTTTTTGTGGATACAGACTAACACGGCTACCCTCTGATACTTGGCATTTTTTGGTGTATTATGCTGTGTTTCAGTTAGCGATATTATTCAAATTCCTTATTGTTTGATTTTTGTTGTTTCTCCCTCCACCCCAGCCCAAAAGCCATTTGCCATTTTTGAAATCAGCAGTTTTTCTGTTGTTGGTGAGAAACGTGTCTTAATGCTGCAAAAGTGTATACTTTTCATGCCGGTAACAGAAAAGGAGTTGCAGGTCCTTCCTCACACCTCCTTTCCATCAACTGAAAAAAAAAATTAACATCTGGGCTGAGACAAAAGTATCAATGAAAAAGCAGATTTTTTAAAAAGAAAATTATGCGTGTATGAAAACAAAAGGTTATAATGAAAGTATTGGTGTTACACTGAACTGTAGTGGCTGCTTCCAAGTGACTGGCTGTGGTATTACTTTGTGGCTATATTGGACAACATCTCAGTGCTGTAGAGAAAGTTGCTGGCCACAGCAAGATGCCTCACACTGGGCTAAGGAGATGTACTCAGGACTGTGCTTTAGTAGCTGTTTAGAAGAGTATTAGAATGCCCCACCGGGGAAGGAGCAGCCCAATGGTGGTACCTGTTAGTATGTTCCTATAGTCTTACTTCTGCAGTGTCTCTAAAGAAACCAGCATGTGGATATCTCTGGAACACCAGAGGGCGGAGGGGGCAGTAGTGGTGCTAGAGATTCTCTTCAGAGCTCCACACAATTAACCTGCAAAAACAGCAGCAGCAGCACATGGTAAACAGCATAAATGGAAATCCTGGCTGTTAGATTCTTTCCATTGACAACAGTGGCCAAATTTTGCTTCCAGGACTTTCCAAATGCACAGAGTCACTGACAGTGTTACAAAGAGTGTCCTGGCATCTGGTCCTATGTCTAAACACTGGTCTACTCTGCCCACATGTCAAGGACGGGTAAGGTGAGGTAGGAAGTAAAACCAAACTACACTCTAAGGGGAAACAATGTAAAAAGGCAAACACTATACTGAAAGTGTGCTCATCTCCCACTGCAGCTGCAACTTTGCCATTACCCAAAATCATCACCCGGGCGTGGTCTGAATAACTTGTTTTAGGGGAGGGAGAAGTGGGAGAGGAAAAACAGTCCCATGGGCTAGAGGGCAGTGCTGAAGAGGACTCCATGGTCTTAGCACACTGTCTCTATACCTGGGAAGGAACAAAGGATCCCAGTTGCTGACCCTGCAGCACTATCCCTTCCACTCCCCTGGTGTGTCCCTCCTTCCCCTACCCTTCCCTGTGTAACTCCTGCAGGGAGCCTCCACCCAGTGGCATTTCACACTGCACATGCTAGGGTTTTCAAGAGTGGTCAGTGCAAGCCTGCATCTGCTCCCATTGAATCTGACGGGGCAACTCCCCCGGGAAGTGGAGTTAGGTCAGTGCTGAATGCTTTGAAAATTCCATCCTCCTTCTGCAGCTTCCCAACTCCTTTTGCACTGTAGAATTGCACCAGTCTGCATGCGCTCTTGGATGAAGAGGCAACATTACCTCTGTATTATGTTGAATCATGTTAAGGAGATGGGAACATGAATTGATCCCTGTTGTGACTCTGCCTTCTCTTGCAGCAGATTTTAAGTCTTTCTTCTAGTGCTTTGCCCCACCATCCTTCCTAAGAAAATATAGAGCCCCCCTGAAAGAGCAAGAAAATTACAGATGTCACAAGCAGCAGCTTAGCTTTAAATTTACTGTTTGACTCGCAGTCCAGTTTGTAAGTAATCCCATAAGTCTCCAGCCATTACTTCATTTACCCAGAGAAACCATAAGCCATAATCATTAATGCTTATGATACTGGTGTCACCTTAGTAGTGATGTACATTTTGAATAGAGAACAACACGTCTCCTTCCCCGCCACGCTGTTGCAGTGCAAAAGTATCATATACTGACTTTTAAATTAAAATGAACACTTTGATGTAAGGCTGCTTTTTGGTTTTGTAAAGTCGATTTCATAAGAACCCAGCTTTACTTGCTTCATAACCACTGGATGGTGCCTACTGCATCCCCCTGTGACCTTGGCAGGATTGGATCCAGTGTGGCACTGAGAATCCGTCACTCTCGATAAGTCATTAGGGGTGAAATCTCAGCCCCACTGGCAAAGCGCCCATTGACTTCACTGGGGCCAGGATTTCATCCTTGGAATTGGAGGTGCTCAGTGTCTTGCCAGGATGAGGCCCTAACCAATGAAAACCTTCAGACTGACTTGTTTTCACAGTGATCCCCAAAAGAGACAGAGGCAGTGGAATTGGTTTTTTTTTTTAAATCAATAAAATTTTATTGTCAGAGTTATAAATATTCTCCATTTGTTCCCTATTTACATTTGCAAAATATTTTAGGATAGCCTACCATCACCTGTCATTCAGCATCTCTATAAATGCCATGAAAATGTCATTATGAAAAAAGTCCGTATTTTCAGCCCACAAACCTGATTTCCACACACTCGCAAAAAAGAATCAAAGGGGGAGGAGGGGGAGGAGGGAAAGAAAAAATACAGTACAGCAGGCAACATTGCAACATTTGCTACACAGTAGCAAAAGGACTGAATTAAGAGTTTCTTAGAATCAGTTATGATGACAAGCTTTTCAGGACATTTGTTATAGACCAGCGTTGGCCAGTGCATTTCTGAAGGACCAGCTGAAATCCAAATTCATTGTCACTGTTTTCCTGTAACTCCAGGCAACGCTTGGATTTTCTGTTCTGGATTGGACCTCCCTTGGGAAAAGAAAAGAAAAAAAAAGGAAAACCAGTTTTGATTAATGCCAAGTCTTTAATGTGTGATATTTCATGTTAGACTAGCAATCAAAAGTCCGTCTTTGAATGGTTATTTACTGTGGAAGAGGCCAGACTGAAGTGCACTGTAGTGTTAGATTGGGGAGAGAAGGTGGCTTTACACCACCTTTATGGATCCTTAATCCTGGGGCGAGCCAGGGGCTAGTTCAGCCCTTGATGCAATTCAGGGCACGCCTTCACTAGCAACGTTAAAGCGCTTTAACGTGGCTGTGTAGTCGCAGCATAGTGCTGGGAGAGAGCTCTCCCAGTGCTATAAAAAACCCTTCCATGAGGGGGATAGCTTTTAGGGCTGGTGCACTGTCTACACTGGCACTTTACAGCGCTGAAACTTGCAGCGCTCAGGGGGGTGTTTTTTCACACCCCTGAGCGAGAAAGTTGCAGCGCTGTAAAGTGTCAGTGAAGCCATAGCCCTTAGAGCAGCTCCCAGGCGTCTGTTCCAGTAGCTGGGGAGGGAATACAGCAGCAGTCTGGCCATTCCGCTTAAACTGGATGCTGGGAGCCAGCAAGATGGATCTGTACTACCCAGGCCCTCCCTGTTCGGGCTTCATCGCTCCTTTGCGCTACTGCAGCAGCATCTAGCTGCTCTAACAGAGCCAACGAACTGACCCCGTACTTGCCAGATCTCCAGGTCTAGAATGTTGTTTATAAATGATGCCTAGGCTATCTATTGACGTCATAATTAATCACATGTAGTTTATGTGGAGCGTCAGTTCTGTATTCAGTTTGCAGCCTGTATATTCCAAATTAAAGGCCTAATTCTGCTCTCTTTGACTTCCCTGGGAGCAGGATCAGACCCTAAATCGCTAGGGTTAGAGTCACCAGGGGATTAATTGTAGATAGATGACAAATTACTAGTTTTCCTTCAATTCAGGGTGCATTTTGTTCCTCTCCTTGGTTTAACAATGATAATTGTGATGTATTAATGCCATTCTTCCAAGGTTTACAGGGTAATTAGCACAGTGACCTGAAGAAAAAGTTTCTCTCATGCACGCAGGCTAGCTTCCAGTGGTGGTGTCTGAAAATCAAAGATTGGAGTGTAAGCCATCAGCCCCAGATTATTGCAGCTAATGTACAGAAACTGTTCCTAGACATGTCAAGTATTTGTTTACAATAGAGGACAAAAATCTAGTATGATTATTTTTTTTAAAACTCACATTTTGTTTTTTCTCATTCATTTTGCTGAAGCCTGTGTTGGGCTTCATGTTATAAAGTTGCAGTACCACAGATGTCCACCATAATAACCTCAAGGATTTTAACTTAAATGTGATAGAAATGCTGAGGTGTGTTACCCCGGGAAGGCTGTTCAGCAATAACATATGCCATTTGGAACAAGACTCCACACCATTCAGGCAGGTGCCGGGGTGTGTCCATATAACCGCTCCTCACTCCAGTCATACATAATAAGCACTTTTTTTTTCTGAGAAATGAATGTCAGTTAAAACCTTTTTCTTGGGAGAGGCAAATAAGGTACATAATTAGGTTTGACAGCTCTGAAGTTTAAATGTGGTTAGGCTTGAATAAGGGAGACCATTTTTAGTATAATCTACAAAATTCAAATCAGGTGCTCCCATAAATCCTTTCTGAAAGGGTTAGATGGGAATTTCAGATTCAATTCTCACTGTTTGCTGTGCTTGGCATTCAGCCTTAATATGCCTCCACTGCTGCACGAGTGTGATTCCCATTAATAGTAATAATGGCAGTTCCATGTGGCTGTCCCCTGGGAGATTAGACCTCTCTTAGCACTACAACTGTTTGAAATTCATAACATTGGTTGTATGAAACAGCACACGCAATTGGTCCAAGTTTAATTTCGTGCCATTTGCTCCTCTCTCCTACCCCAATTGTCACTTTGGCCCCAATCCAAAGCTGAATGAAATCAACAAGAATCTTTCTATTGAGTGTAATGGGGTTTGGATCAGGCCCTTCATGAAGGGCTTCAATTAAACGGCTATTTTCACATTAAAAAAGTGGGCCTATTCTGACAAGGGGAAGCTCACTATCTTCAACATCTAAGATAAAGAGTGGACATTACAATACAAATAAAAAGGATGCATGAAATGATTTAGTCTTGAGGGATCCAATCCTTCAGGGCACTGAAGCTCAGATTTTCCATGGGAGTTGGATGCCTAAATACCTTTGAGAATCTGGGCCTGAGTGCCTCCTAATGCAGTGGTTCCCAACCAGGAGTATGTAAAGGTTCTCTGGGGGTACATCAGCTCATCTAGATATTTGCCTAATTTTACAAAGGCTACATAAAAGCACTAGTGAAGTCCGTACAAACTAAAATTGCATACAATGACTTATTGGTCTACATACTACACACTGAGATATAAGTACAATATTTATATTCCAATTGATTTATTTTATAATTATATGGTAAAAATGGGAAAGTAAGCAATTTTCCAGTAATAGTGTGCTGTGATACTTTTGTATTTTTATGTCTGATTTTTGTAAGCAATTCGTTTTTAAGTGAGGTGAAACGTGGGGATATGCAAGACAAATCAGAATCCTCAAAGGGGTATAGTAATCTGGAAAGGTTGAGAGCCACTGCATTACAGGGTGTTCGTTATGTATGTTAAATGAGCATGGAACTCAGGTTTGTGCATAGAAAACCCACATGAACAGCTTCTGAAAGGACAGATTTCACAGGGACAGCTCTGCTTTAATGCCACGTCACCAGTGTGTGGATTACAGATGAAAATCATTAATGCGTTAGAGAAAAATGACTGACTTGACTCGAGGTACACCTAAATAATAAAATAAATCCGAACGCTGCTTTAGTTCACATTCCAATAGCTATTGAGCATAACAACACGTATGGATTGAAATATAGAGTTAATTCAGCAATGAGGGCTCTATGCTAATAGTGTGCTTCTGAAACCTGAAATCCGCTTTGTAGGCATCTGCTCTCAGTCGTCAAAAGGCCTAATGCCGCCACTGGGAGTTGAGAGCCTCCCTCCCCCCGCAAGAAAGCTGCTCAGCACCTTGCTGGAGCATCAGGCCTCAACCCTACCACTTTCATTATGTTTTTATTCACACAGTGAAGGCTGGACTTATTGATTCCCCCACTATTTCTATTCCCCTTTCAGCTGCCTCTTGCCCGCAAATTATCTTTATTCCAATTCTAAGCAATTGGACAGCAAGTCTGTCGTCTTCCTCTGCAGTAACTCTCCCCAGCCTCGAGCACCGTAGCACTTTTTTTTTTTACACGTGAAAATAAGGAACTATTAGCTTGGGCTCTGGAGTTTTTGCCTCTGAATTGGGGACATGAGTGCTGGAGGGGCAGTTGCAGGCTGAAATGTAGATTGAACTTAGGTAGACAATTTGTCCTCCTTCAGGTGGAGACTGCACTGTTTGCTGTAATGAAATCTTTTGTGGAGCCATGACTGTTACATTTTTTTTCATAGCTTTTTTGTTGTTGTTGTAAACTTCTTATGGAATATAATAAAATGGCACCTTTGTTTGCATTTGGCTTTCGTGTTCCAAACAGTAATGAAGTGGACAGACTGCAAAAGTCATTCAGTAGTGATCTGACTTGGAAATACACTTGCTACTAGGACCTGGGTTTGGCTTCCTTCTCTCATTGCTTTTCAGCATGTCCTCATGCTGAAAAGCAATGAGAGTTATTTAGTTAATTTTTTTTATGAATTATACAGCTCGGTCTATTCTAGGTCTTTCACCATATGGTATGTGCATTGTCACTACGATTAAGACAATACACTGACCTCTCGAGCAAGCCATCTCTTTAGACATATACAAAAATCAATTCGATTATTTCACTAGGGCACTTTAGTTAAGAAAAAGCCTGCTCTTGCCCCTATTGTGCTTCAGAGTAGTTTTCTTCCATATTCCTGCTCAATAGGGCCAGACTGTGTGGTTGCTGCCCCTCTGAGAGATTAAGCCATTGTTCTCTGCATACGTGCCCCAGGGCTCAGAAGCAGAGCTGTTTTGTTTCTAACAAGACTTGAACCTTCATGTTTCTATTTTGTAGAAAAACTCATCTCGCTAAAAGCTTCTGTGCTGTCTGGAACAGCTCAATTCCCTCATATTAGCCACCACTTCAGTGTGTGTTTCAGACAGCAAGCTCCAGTACTACCCATAAGGGTGATATTTACTAGTAACTGCTGAGTGCTGTGCAACATATCAAGCAGGGCTCCCTAGCCTTTTTCTCTCCAATGGCACTTAAGTGTAGGTCAAATTTTACATCAGAGCAGATTGGGAAAAGAGAATGTTTCTAAAAAGAATGGATTACTCTCTTTCTGTTTATTATCAATGCCTTTATTAAAGCGACAAAGAGTCCTGTGGCACCTTATAGACTAACAGACGTATTGGAGCATAAGCTTTCATGGGTGAATACTCACTTCGTCAGATGCATGTAGTGGAAATTTCCAGAGGCAGGTATAAATATGCAGGCAAGAATCAGTCTAGAGATAACGAGGTTTGTTCAGTCAGGGAGGAAGAGGCCTCTTCTAGCAGTTGAGGTGTGAACACCAAGGGAGGAGAAACTGCTTTTGTAGTTGGCTAGCCATTCACAGTCTTTGTTTAATTCTGAGCTGATGGTGTCAAATTTGCAAATGAACTGAAGCTCAGCAGTTTCTCTTTGGAGTCTTGTCCTGAAGTTTTTTTTGCTGTAAGATGGCTACCTTTACATCTGCTATTGTGTGGCCAGGGAGATTGAAGTGTTGGACTACAGGTTTTTGTATATTGCCATTCCTAATAACTGACTTGTGTCCATTTATCCTTTTACATAGGGACTGTCCAATTTGGCCGATGTATATAGCGGAGGGGCAATGCTGGCACATGATGGCGTATATTACATTGGTGGACATGCAGGTGAATGAACCGGTGATGTTGTGGCTGATCTGCTTAAGTCTTGATGTTGTCGCTGGTGTAGATATGTGGGCAGAGTTGGCATCGAGGTT